ACTTACTGGGGTTGCACTCGATGCCCTCGTCCAGATCATCAATGAAGATATTAAAGAGGACCGGCCCCAGCACCGAGCCCTGGGGGACGCCACTAGTGACGGCATCCAACTGGACTTGACTCCATTCACCACGACTCTTTGGGCCCGGCTATCCAGCCAGTTTCTAACCCAACGAAGCGTGCGCCAGTCCAAGCCAAGAGCAGCCAGTTCTTGAGGAGAATGCTGTGGGAGACGGTTTTCATGTCAAAGCCTTGCTGAAGTCAAGGTAGACCACATCCACAGCCTTTCCCTCGTCCACCAGCGCGTCACTTTATTCATAGAAGGAGATCAGGTTCGTCAAGCAGGATCTGCCTTCCATAACCCATGCTGACTGGGCCTGATCGCCTGCTTGCCCTGCAAGTTGCCGCAAGATGACTCTCAAGAGGATCTGCTCCATGAGCTTCCCTGGTACTGAGGTCAAACTGACCGGCCGTGTAGTTCCCCGGGTCTGCCCTCCGGCCCTTCTTGTAGATGGGCGTCACATTTGCTAGCCGCCAAATCTGACGCCCCATCTACAAGTTTTACCCATCTACAGTTTTTTCCCCCGTGCTGCTCCTGGGAGCCAGGACCAGATGTTCCATTGCAGGTTCAAGACCTTCCAGGTCTGGACAGGAGCTACTTTTCTAATTGCCTTTGTAATTCTTCCATGACCTTTCCTGTGTCATCGATTAGAAGACAGCAGCTTGAATCATTTGGCTTTGTCCATAGGCACTTTGTAAAGTGGGGATGTTTTATCGGTTTGTAAGGTTTCTTCAGCGCTGGGCAGCATGGGGGTAGGCCACCAAAATCGTGCCTGCCTGACGGGGCAACTTGCCCTGGTTCTATGCAGCCAAGAGCTACAGTGCACAAAGTGTCCCAACGCAGCCTAGACACGTTCATAACCTAGCTCCGCTTCGTCTTCAGATGAGCTCCAAGGAGTCATTTCCATGAGCTCCTCCTGTCTGCACTTGCGCACCTTCTCCTCTCCTGGTGGTGGTCTTGATTCAAAGATCGAAGCCGAAATTCCTTTAAGTGGTGTATTCTTTATTGCAGCGCTGGATGCACGGGGGATCTCTCCACCTATCGTGCATACCCAAAGCGGAAAGCAGTCTGGAATTTATACAATCAATCTATCAATATTCTACAAGCGCCTATACATATTCATTACCTATCCCGCCTTCCCTCGCTTCTCATGCTAATTAGCCTTTTGGCACTTTGTGCCTGCATAGAGCCTCCCAAGAATTGTGGGCAGGGGTCTTTGGGACGTGGGCAGGGGTCTTGGGGAGGAAGACCCCGAGTCTTCCTCACAGTGTACTTTTCACCTTTGGTCAGGAATCTGCTGAGTTGGCATGTTTCTTAATTGCAAGCGCTGGTTGTTGCTAATTCTTCCATTTGTTGTATCTTTATAATGAATTCCAATGTCCAGTTTTGAGATGTATAGTCCTTATATTTGTTTCTCTGTCCGTCTGCCGCTTCCTTATCATGAGTTCCAGTGTCTTGTTTCGAGATATACAGTCCTTGTCTGGGGATTGTCCTTGCCTCCCCAGTGCCTCCTTAATCAGTCTTTGGGGGGTCGTGGGGACGAAGGCCGAGAACTCCTCGTCATCACCACCAGCTGACCCCCTTTGCAGCCTTTGGAGACTCAGCTGCTCCTCGGCTCTTGCCCAAACCACAGGGTCGGGCTCAGCTGCTTTTTGGGACAGGTTCCCCGCTTTTGTCAGGCTGGGCTGGGCTCGGCTGGGCTCGGCTCGGCTCGGCTCCCCTCGGCTCCCCTCGGCTCCGCTCGGCTGGGCTCGGCCCCCCCCGGCCTTGCTTCATTTGCATAGCCCCGCCCCGATTGCCCCACCGGCCACTCAGCTCTTGGGGCCAGCCGGAGCCCCTCCTCCCGTGGAGGCGGCGTTAGCCCAGTGGCAAGAGGTGCTCACGTAACCCCTTCCCTATCGAGGCAGGGAGCCACTAGGGTCACGGGTTCGAGGCCTGCCTGGGGGGTTGACCCGCTCTCCCTGTTTTGCACACACATACTCTTGCTTACAATTCCTTCCTCTTTGCTTTCTGCTCCCTGGTGTGTTTTTTTTTGCGTTTTACTCCATTAGGAGCAAGTCCCTTTCATCTGCTAGATCCTGGGGATCCTGGCTGCCCAGCAGAATCTTTTCTCTTGGCCCCTTAAGAGTTACTATCTGGCATTGTATAAACTCACTTTAGGATAGAATAAAACTTGTGGTTAGAAGTTAGCAAGTGTGAGAAACACTCCGTAGCCAATAACTTCGGCTCAGGCGAGGATCTCAGTGAAGTAGTAATTTATTCGCGATTGCAAAGGCGGGCGCCCACAAGCAGGAGAGAGCGCATCTACTAGTTCCAAAACACAGTTTACATATCTTTTGATGGCAGGACCCTCCGCTGTTTCCCCACTGAGTGGGTAATCCAGGTTCACAATCTATCTGATGCTTCACAAACAATGCACGGCCTTCAGTTGCCGGCCTGTTAAATTTCAAATTTCTTTGGACATTTTTACTGCTTGAAGTGGTAATGTTTCTTCACTTATCTGACTTGACTTGACACCGTGATTTTCACCTAATTGTCCTAAGGAGTCTGGTTGTGTGCATTTTACTAGGTCGCCTGCTAAACTTCCTTATCACTGTAAGCATATCTCAGTACCACCTTCCCTCCTTCTAAACAATGTAACTCTGCAAAAACCACATTTCTACTCCCATAATTCCCCCCTTTTCTTTTTTTTTTTTTTTATCAACTGTTGATTTTTGCAAAACCTTTCTCTAAGGTGTAACTTGGTAGATTTCTTCTTCTTCGCTTTCTTTGCTTTCCATCTCCTCATTATCACCTTATCTGAGTAAGGTGGTGGCTCCATGGTCATTTGTTTCCATAGTGCGCTTTCAGTTAACCACTGTACTAGTCCTCTTCCACAGGGATAATGCAGCAACCAATGGCTGTC